TACTGAGTGGCTTCTCTGTGTTGTGAACATACCTTGGCAGAGGAAGAAGGAAGAGTCGAGGAGGATTCCCAGGTTTCTTTTATGTAAATGGTAGTGCTATTTGTTGAGATGGAGTGAGGGGAAGTCCTGTATCTTACTCAGGCCCTAAGGAGCCTTGGAGCAGGGGCCATTGTCATCTGTGTAAACAAAATAAGGTTATTGATTTCTAAAAGTTCTAGACTTAATCTGATGAATTAGTCATTCTCTCTTTTACGCCTGTGATGACTAGTTCAAAGACCCCCATCCTTTTGCTGGTTTGTATTTAAGAGAGAGAGAGAGAGAGACAGAGTGAGAGAGAGTGGGGGAGGGGCAGAGGGAGAGAGAGAATCTCAAGCAGAGTCCCCACTGAGCCTGGAGCCTGACTCGGGGCTTGGTCCCAGGACCCCGAAATCATGACCTGAGCTGAAATCAAGAGTGGGACGCTTAACTGACTGAGCCACCCAGGCGCCACAAGAGTTGCTTTGTTTTCTGTGAAACTTGGCATACTTCATTAGAAAATAGTTTATTGCATCTTTAATCAATAAGCTTTGTGATAAATTATAATAAACTCAGAAATAGTCTTGTATGAAAAATGTGAGTCTATGGAGCAGTAATCAAAGCTTTGTGGTTTTGTCATCCTTCACAATTTAATCTCTTTTAGAAGCAGTCAGAATGTGTTTGAGTCCTTAAGGACTCTGCCTGCCAACCATTATGTTAACAGTTTATATGGGTTTCTCTTTAATCGTCTGGAGTAAATATTTTCTCATGAATGAGAAAACAGAAGAGTTAATTTAACTAAAAGTCATAGGCTAATACATGACCAAGCCTAGATTTCAGTCCCAAGCCTAATTCCAAAACCTACACTAACCACTAGATGATGAGTCTGAAAGAAAGGCCGTAGGTTCTCTTTATTAACTTTTGATTCAATTTTAAGCATATATTTGGAGAAGAATTCCTATATGCAAGTCCAAGAAGCTGCTTGTTTTCTTTTAGCCTGGGAGTGGCAATTATAAAATTTTCATGATTGAAGCTTTTGAATCCTTTACAGAACAGTGGGTGTTTTTTCATGACCTGTGTTATTAGTACCTTCTTACTATTGCTAGTAATGATCCTGCGTTCTGCGTTGTTTTATACCAGGCTTTCTTCGAGAGTCATCCGGCTCCTTCAGCTGAGCGCACCATCCAGCAGTGTTGTGAAAATATCCTGCTGAATGCTGCTTGGCTAAAGCGAGATGCTGAGAGCATTCACCAGTACCTCCTTCAGCGAAAAGCCTCACCACCTACAGCGTGAGCCCTGAGCACACCACCGCTGCAGTCCTGCCGCTTGGCTGCTGGGGGGATAAGGTGGGGCTACCGAACAGCTGATTCACATGCCAAGAATTTGGAGTCTTCTTTCAAACCAGTGGGGGTTGGACAATGAATGTAGTTAACTGGTTCCTGCTCACACTCCAGAATTAAATCCTATTGAAAAAGGAAAATCAGCAATTCAGCAAAAAAATAAAAATAAAAAGTAAAAATGTAAATATGATAGTAATAAAATAGAGCATAACGAAACTGTGAAACTTCCTGAAGCCTTGTCAGTGGTTAAAAGTATTTAACACTCTCCTGTTAATGACAGATGTTCTGTTTTTATAACCTACCAAAAGGAAACTAGAGGCTTCTGGGTGAAGAAGATTTTTTGTGAAGTAGGTTCTGCAAGCAGCCTACAAGCCAAGGGTAGTGTCCATTGCTGGGAATGGTTAAACGTGAAAGGCTGATAGCTGGTATAACATAGAGTCTGTGCATAATTCCAAGTGTTTTTTGGTTTTTTTGGGGTTTGTTGGGTTTTTGGTTTTTGGGGGGGTTTTTTTTGGTGGTTTTTTTTTTTTGGTTTTTTTTTTTTTTTTGGCATGGGGAGTGATCGGGAAGATATATTTTCCGCATAACTCATTCTGAACCAAGGATCATAATTTTCCTCCATGCCTTCCCTCCTGTGTGACCACCCAGCCAAAAGGAAAAAAAAAAAGTGAAAAAAAAAAAAAAAAAAAAAACCAAACCTCTCCTGGTCTGGGTTTATTCTTCCTCTTAGTTCCACCCCCAACCTCCACCCCCGGTGTCCTTCTTAGAGATCAAGAAATAATAAGGAAACATCTTTTATAGCCACATTAAATAAGAGAAACTGATATACATTATTTTTTCTTTCTTTTTTAAGATAACTTTTAAGAGCCCTGAGATGCATATAGGTGAGACATAGAAATTAAAGGGTTTTCAGCCAGGCCGTCCTGAAGGAGTTATTCTGCTAAAAAACAAACAAAATGGTCGTAGTTGTCCGACAGGCCAACGGTTAAACCTCTTCATGATAGTATCAACACTGGCTTCTCCCGGTTCACCGTGGACGTAGAAGAAGTCAGTGGCCCCCGCTGCAGGGGCCGTGTATTAGTGGTGACTGGATAGAACAGCAAAGACCATAAGCCTGTGTGTGCCACTCTTTGCTTTAACAGTGTATCCTACTAACAAGCCTCACCTACCTGACCCAGTGAGTTTTAACTCTACACTTCATTGCTTTCCTCTGCCCCTACCTTTTTTCCTTTTTTTTCTTTTTCCTCTTATTTTTCCTTTTTAAAAATATTTGTTTTGTGTTATTAACAGGAATTTCATATTTGGTGTGGCTTAACTATATTTCAGAAGGTCATCAGATTGTGAGACTGCTTCCTTGAAACATTTTTGTGCTATTGTTTTAAAAAAATAATAATTAAAAAGTTGGCGTTAATAAAAATGTCAATGTGAAATTGATGTCCTGATTTCTTTTATTCTCTTTCATAAGGAACTATAAACTTTCCTGTCACTCACTAGGATTATAAGAAGTTTTAACGACCAAAGGATTTTTTGAGTCTAAGAAAATCCAATTTCTGAATTCCTTAATGAGTAATACCTAAACAGAAAAATCCTAAGATTCTTTCTAAATTTGTTCTGGATGCTCAGAAATCTCTTAGAGATCCTTAGAGTTAGCATTCGGGAGTTAACTAGAGACTTACCAGTTGACGTTTATCGAGGCTTTTCTGTCCAGGGGCCACACTCATGGCCGCGCTAGAGGCCATCTAGGCATGTGCTTAAGGCATCAGCAAAGCAGGGACACCAGAAAGTCTGAGAAAAGAAATCTGCTTTTAATAATAAGAACTCAAGGGGCCCCTGGCTGGCTCAGTCAGTAGATTGTGTAGACTCTTGATCTCTGGGTTGTGAGTTCAATCCCTATGTTGGGTGTGGAGGCTACTTAAAATTAAAAAAACAGAAAAACTCGGAAGTTTATAATTAAAAGTTCTAGAAAGAAGGTACTTCAGTTTCAGCATACATGCAGGTTTTGTGTTTAATAGTTTAGTAGTTTGAATTTTGCTGGGGCAGAAGTGGTGCAGGAGATCTTCCGTGTCCCCTTCAGAGCTGCTGTCCATCCTGTTCTGTGCCCCAGGAGGGGTTGGCCCCAATGGACTGCATTAACAGGCTCCTTTGCCCTCTGACTTCAGGCTGTGTTGATCCAATTAGTAATACCCTCAAGATCAAAAGGCATGAGGAAAGGATGGTGAGGGTATTTATTCCCCAGGCTTCCTCATACCCAGGTCACAGGGGTTGTCTGTGTTGCTCTACCAAAGACCATGACTCCTAATTAAGCAGCCCTCTCGAGCTTCTAGCTCCTTCACTTTGCCCCTTCAAATCTAGGAATAGAACTATTCCCCTTCTAGCTCTGGATTACTCCATTATTCCTTGTTGGTTCTCCTGAACTTTCCCATGTCTTTGTAAATAGTCCCCTTATTAAACCTTCTTCAAGTTACCCAGTTCGAGTGTGTTCTCTGTTTTCTACTAATATCTTGACTGATTCTGGCACTGGAGTCCTGATGATTTGGGTCTCTAAAGGTCTTAATTCAGCCTTTTCGGTGTCAGATGTTTTACTTTATTGTTTGTCTTCCAAGTAGCTCCCTATCAGGTAATAGACTCATTTTACAGGTGAGAAAGCAGGCTCAAAAAAATTAGGTAAAGTAGTTATACAATGAATAACTTAGAACCAATGGTCAGCCCAAGCTCACTGGTCTCTAAATCCTGTGTTCTTGCTAATTGTCATGTCTCCACGATTAGAAGATCATGCAGTCAGACTGGATCTAGGCAACAGTTTTAAATATACTGAATGATTTTCCTTTAACCCTAAGACTTCTTGGTTAAAGCTTTTAGTAGAAATCAGAAAGTTGAAAAAGAGAAATGTGGGGCACCTGGCTGGTTCAGTCAGTAGAGCATGTGACTCTTGATCTCAGGGTCTTGAGTTTAAGCTCCTCATAGAGCTTGCTTAAAAAAAAAAAATTATTTAAAAAAAAGGGGGAATGAATGGGTTGATCCTTCCTATAGAGAATTTTATATTATTTTTTATTAATGGGAAACAATAAAGCTTTTTGGAATACTACATGGTGGTGGATGAATTCTTAAACTTCCAGTTTCTAAGGATGGGTTTCAGGATGCAAGGAACCCCTTGAAATTATCTGTAAAGAACATATCTCTGTAGTGTGCAATTTAGAGTGTATGCAAGGAGTTCTGTAGCTTTAAAAGAGTTCTTTCAGTTCTATTACCCAAACAGGTCCTAGAATGTTATCAGAAAGATTGGAGCCACATCTGTAGGGTTACTGATTCTTTTTCTTGGCAGGGCAGAAAAAAAAAAAGCTTCTGATCATCTATTTATAGCCTGTACTTACAGACAGCCTCAGTTTTGACTGAATAATCAATTACTTGGTGAGAAAGGAATCTCCTCTGGGGCGCCTGGGTGGCTCAGTCGTTAGGCATCTGCCTTCGGCTCTGGTAATGATTCCAGGGTCCTGGGATCGAGCCCCACATCGGGCTCCCCACAAAGTGGGGAGCCTGCTTCTCCCTCTCCCACTCCCCCTGCTTGTGTTCCCTCTCTCACTGTGTCTCTGTCAAATAAATAAAATCTTGGAAAAAAAAAAAAAAGAGTCTCCTCTTACTACACACTGGTTTTAGGCTCTCAGCGTTGTTTAATTTTCTTTTATAAGACTGTCTTCTCTTTTGTGATGGTACAAAAACTCACCCAAGATGGACAGTGCCTTCTTGTACCACCCCTGGTCGACACAGACTGGCCAAGGTGTTTGGTTTCAAACACAAGTATAAGCGATAGGAGACCCCGGTGTTCGTAAACATGAGGCCAAACAGCTGCTTTCCCTCAGAAACCACATCAGAGGATTGGTGGTTCCATCAGCACATGCGATGGCAACCGTGATCGGTGGCAGGGCCAAAGGAAGGAGAGTCGACGCGTTGTTAGTAGCACTTGTAAAAAGGTCTGGTTGCCCCTGTAGTTCTGTTGCTGGCATCCGGTGGCTGTAGCTTTCACCATTGAACTTCTGGTTCCAATACTGAGCTAGAATTGGCAACAGAGGAGAAACATAGCTTACTATTAATCTACGCTTTCTCAGGGAAGTTGCCAGCCGCTGACAGCAGACATGCTGCACACCAATTAAAAGATGACTACCAGGAAGAAAAAAAATTAAATCTTGTCATAGTTTGACCATACCAGTCTGGTCCTCTGAGACACCTGCCTCCCCCTCCACCCCCAACCAAATTTAACCTTTGTCATCTATTTGACAAATTGTGCGGGTATATTACATTATACTGCAATTTCAGCCCACTCTATTAGGGGGCTGATTATCTACTTTGTGTTATATATGCTAATCTTATGGATATTCTCTTCTTAGTGTTCTCTACTATTTAGACTTCTACTAAGGAAGTTAAGAAAACTAAATATTGAATGGCTAAGGATTCAATAGAAGTCTCAAGAACACAATGCAAGATAATGCAGGCGAGATGGAGAAACAGTTTATAAGAAAAAGTACAAAACATTTAAAATAGTTGACATGAATGAGGATGGATGAGATGATTGTTGCTTTCTTAAGATTTTTTTTTTAAGATTTCATTTATTGATTTGAGAGAGAGGGAGAAGGAGAAGCAGTCTCCCTGGGGCACAATCCCAGGACCCTGGGATCATGACCTGAGCCAAAGGCAGATGCTTAACCAACTGAGCCACCCAGGCGCCCCGTAAGACTTATTTTAGAGACAGAGAAAGCATGAGTGGGAGGGGCAGAGGGAGAAGGAGAGAGTTTCTCAAGCAGACTCCATGCTGAGTGCAGAGCCTGATGCACCTTGAATCTCAGGACCCTGAGATGAAGTCCTGAGTCAAAGAGTTGGATGCTTAACTGACTGAGCCACCCAGGTGCCCAACTATTGCTTTCTTTCTTTTTTTTTTTTTTTAGATTATTTATTTATTTATATGAGAGAGAGAGAATGAGAGAGAGAACACGAGACGGGGGAGGGTCAGAGGGAGAAGCAGACTCCCTGCTGAGCAGGGAGCCCGATGCGGGGCTCGATCCTGGGACTCCAGGACCATGACCCGAGCAGTCGCCTAACCAACTGAGCCACCCAGGCGCCCCCAACTATTGCTTTCTTAATAGGTCAGTTCCCTCCTCTAGGAACAGAGCACTTGAAAGGGGAATGTAAAGGGGTATGGTAGGATGAAGTTAATGCTGTGGCCTTTAAGAGTGTAAAGAAGTACCTTCTCTTACTTTGTTCTTTTTCTTTTTTCCCCACCCCCTTCACCACCACCCTTTGGGGCTTCTGGCAACCACCAATCTGTTCTCTGTATCAATGAGCTTGGTTTTTTTGTTTTTACTTTTTTAAGATTTCACATTTAAGAGAAATCTCTCAGTATTTGTCTTTCTCAATCTGACTTATTTCACTTAGCATAATGCCCTTAAGGTCCATCCATGTTGTTGCAAATGGCAAGATTTCATTCTTTTTTATGGCTGAGTAATATTCTAGCGTGTGTGTCTGTGTGTGTCTGTGTCTGTGTGTGTACATGCTACAATTTCCTTATTCATCCATCCATTGGTGGACACAGGTTGTTTCCATATTTTGGTTATTGTAAATAATGCTGCAGTGAACATGGGGTGCATATATCTTTTTGAGTCAGTATTTTCATTTTCTTCAGATAAATACCCAAAAGAGGAATTGCTAGATCGTATGGTAGTTTTGTTTCTAATTTTTTAAAGAACCTCCATACTGTTTTCCATAGTGGCTGCGCCAATTTACATTCCCACCAGTAGTGCACAAGGGTTCAATTTTCTCCTCACCATCACCAACACTTGTTATTTCTTGTCTTTTTGATACTAGCCATCCTGACAGGTGTAAAGTGAAAGCTAATTGTGGTTTTGATATGTATTTCACTGATGATTAATGATGTTGAATATCATTTCATGTGCCTGTTGGTCATCTGCATATCTTTGAAAAAAATGTCTATTCAGATCTTATGTCCATTTTTAATTGGATTATTTGTGAAGTGTTTTTTGCTATTGAGTTGTATGAGTTCTTTATATATTTTGGATATTAGCCCCTTATAAATACATGATTTGCAAATATTTTCTCCCATTCAGTAAAGTTTGCCTTTTTGTTTTGTTGGTTTCCTTTGCTGTGTAGAAGCTTTTTAATATGATGAAGTCTCATTTATTTTTGCTTTTATTGCTTTTGCTTTTGGTGTCAGGTTAAAAAAAACATTGCCAGGACCTATGCCAACTATGTTTTCTTCTAGGAGTTTTATGGTTTCAGGTGCTATATTCAAGTCTTTAATCCACCTTGAGTTAATCTTGGTGTATGGTGAAAGATAGTGGGCAAGTTTCATTCTTTTGCATGTGGCTTACCATTTTCCCAACACGGCTTATTGAACAGACTGTCCTTTCCCTGTTGTATATTCTTAACTCCTGTGTCATAAATTAATTGGCCATACATAAATGTGTTTTTTTCTGGGCTCTCTATCTTGTTTCATTGATCTGTGTATCTGTTTTTATGCCAATACCATATTGTTTTAATTATCATAGCCTTTGTAATATAGTTTGAAATCAGGGAGTATGATGCCTCCAGCTTTCTTCTTTCTCAAGATTGCTTTGGCCATTCAGAGTTTCTCACTTCATTCCTTGAACAGTAATAGAATATACAGATGATCTCTGTGTAGACAACAAAACAGTACATGACTTATGTAAGACAACATGGCTACCAAATCTGGTCTGCTCTCCCTGCCCTTGCTGACACTCTTCTTCCCAGAAAATGGAAGGTTCTAGAGCTGTGTGTCCAAGTACAGTAGCCTCTGACCATATGTAGCTATTTAAGTTTAAATTCAAATAAATTAAAAATTAAGTTCCACATTTCAAGTGTTCATTAGCCACATACAGCTAGTGGCCACTATATTGGGCAATACCAGATACACATCATATTCCATCACCGAAGAAAGTTCTGTTGGACCACCCGGTTCTACATCAAGTGTTTGCAAGTGTATTTTTTGTTTATGGTAGAAAATAGTTACATAATGTATGTTCTTCTTTAGCAGCCTCATTGTAACACTGCTCTTCGTCTAAGAACATTGTATCACTAACCCCTATGGACTTAAAATTTTATTTCTGTTTACAAATGTAATACAGGGGAGCCTGGGTGGCTCAGTTGGTCAAGAGTCTGCCTTCCGCTCAGGTCATGATTCCAGAGTCCTGGGATTGAGTCCTGTGTTGGGCCTCCCTGCTCAGCGGGGAGTCTGCTCCTCCCTCTTCCACTGCCCCTCCCCTCACTCATTCCCTCCCTCTCTCTCTCAAATGAATACATAAGAATCTTTTAAAAAAAATTTAAGAATTAGGGGCGCCTGGGTGGCTCAGTCATTAAGCGTCTGCCTTCGGCTCAGGTCATGGTCCCAGGGTCCTGGGATCGAGCCCCGCATCGGGCTCCCTGCTCGGCGGGAAGCCTGCTTCTCTCCCTCTCCCACTCCCTCTGCTGTGTTCCCTCTTTTGCTGTGTCTCACTCTGTCAAATAAATAAAATCTTAAAAAAAAAAAGCATCAAGTCTTTTAAAAAAATTTTTTTTTAATTAAAAAAATACATGGGGCACCTGGGTGGGTCAGTCAGTTAAGAGTCTACCTTCGGCTCAGGTCACAATCCCAGGGTCCTGGCTGGGATCGAGTCCCGCATCTGGCTCTCTGCTCAGCAGAGAGTCTGCTTCTCCCTCTGCCTCCTGCTTGTGCTCTCTCTCTCTCTGTGTCAAATAAATAAATAAAATCTTTAAAAAAATACAAATGTTATACATACTCTTTTAAATTTTGAAAGGGAAAAAAAAGTGACTATCTCTTCTTATAAACCTGCCTCCCCAAGACAATCCTGATTACAGATGAGTTTGGGAAATATTCCTCCAGCTATGTTTTTACACTCTAGTTTATGCATTTAATTCTTTTTAGTAATGAAGATGGGTTGTGCCCCTTTTGCTTGTTCCTCTTTGTAACAGATGCCACGCATTTTCAGTCTTTGCCTCAGGAAGCTAAGTGTGCTAGGCTCTGACCTGTGACCCCTGATGTCATGCTCTCAGTCCTGAGGATATGACTTGAGAACAAATAAACAGTTGGCAAATGCACACCTTGAGGAGCATTTCTTTCTTTCTTTTTTTTTTTTTTTTTTAAGATTTTGTTTATTTGACAGAGAGAGACACAGCGAGAGAGGGAACCCAAGCAGGGGGAGTGGGAGGGGGAGAAGCAGGCTTCCTGCCGAGCAGGGAGCCCGATGTGGGGCTCGATCCCAGGACCCTGGGATCATGACCTGAGCCGAAGGCAGACGCTTAACGACTGAGCCATGCAGGCGCCCCAAGGAGCATTTCTTCCTTGTTTAGATGCACTGATTCACGCGTGTTTTCCAGCCTGACTGCCTGATGTGAAACGCCCATTTTGTGGCGGGCACACATTTGAGGAATGCGGCTTTCAGCTCCTCGCTCAATTAGTTTAAGTGGTTCGTGTAATGAATTCACTCAGTGTTCTTTCCTCACCGGAGATGTGAACAGCACTGTATTTGGAACTAACATTGCAACCCTATACACCGCCGCCTGTGTGTTTAGTTACAGATTGTGGTGGTTATCGCCATGAACTAGACTTCGGAAGTGCTACAGTGATGGATATCACAAAGACTTTGGTGAGGACACGCAGCTGGCTTGGGGGGCGGGGAAGGAAAAGAAGAAAAAAGTGCCCTTTCTCACAGATTGCAACCCGCAGGGACTTCAGCTTGCTGCAGTTGTTGAAATGAGGCCACGGGTTCCTCCCACCAGTCAGGCTTACCTGTCGGACACCTGCCGCGGGAGCCCCACCTGCTCAGCAGGGAGTCTGCTTCTCCCTCTCCCTCTGTCGCTCCCCCTGCTTGTGCTCTCTCGCTCTGTCAAATAAATAAATACAATCTTAGGAAAAGAAGAAAAGAAAGAGAAATAGTGAATGAGTACTTCTAAGTGTGATGAGTCTTTGGAATAGGAAGGGCAGAGTGGTATAAGAGGCCATTACTGAGGAATCCGATGTCGCCTGGATGTTCAGGAAAGGCTCCCATGAAGAAATGATGTTAAACAGAGGCCTGGAAGATGAGTAGTTGCTAACCAGGCAAAGAAGAAAGGGAAAAGTGTTCTAGGCAGAAGAAATAGCATGTACAATGGCCTGTGGCTGAAAAGAACCTGACCTATTTAAAGAACCAAAGGAAATCCAGACTAGAGGGAACAAAGAGAACTCTTGGAAAAGTGGTGGAAGAGAAATCTGGAGATGCAGGCCAGGGCCAGACTAGGGAGGGACTCAGGCCACATTAAAGATTCCACACTGGGATGCCTGGCTGCCTCCGTCACTCCGTCGGTGGAATGTGAGTGCTTGATCTCGGAGTCGCAAGTTCGAGCCCCATGTTGTGCATAGAGATTACTAAAAAAAAAAGAAAGAAAGAAAGAAAGAAAGAAAGAAAGAAAGAAAGAAAGAAAGAAAGAAAGAGAAAGAAAGAGAAAGAAAGAAAGAGAAAGGAAGAAAGAGAGGCGCCTGGGTGGCTCAGTGTTAAGCATCTGCTTTCGGCTCAGGTCATGATCTCAGGGTCCTAGGATGGAGCCCTGCATCAGGCTCCCTGCTCAGCAGAAGTCTGCTTCTCCCTCTCCCACTCCCCCTGCTTGGGTTCCCTCTCTCACTGTGTCTCTCTCTGTCAAATAAATAAATAAATAAAATCTTTATAAAAAAAAGAAAGAAAAAAGATTCTATACTTTAGGTAAAGGACAATGGGAAACCATGAGTTTCTGCATCTGTGCAATGAGAATAATACTCCTAGAGTCACCAGGGAACAAAATGAGAAGAATACAAGTGAAAGGTCTTTAGCGCTTTAGGAAAACTACTGATATAATATCATTAGTGGTAATACTATACTGTGCTGCCTTCTTAAGTAATAGAAGTAATAGTTCAAATCCCCTCCTAAGTGGGAATAGGAAATAGTCCATAAAACCCTGACTTACTCAAGGGAACTGATGGAAAGGTCAGAAGTTCATTTCAGTCGAAATTTCCAGCATGAGGTTCCTGAAGCCCAGGGATGAGCTCAGTTGTTTGGAGCAGGATCACACCATTTATGGCCATGTGTATTTCCCAACTCCATCCCAACTCCCCAACACCACTTCCGGAAAAGATCAGCATGCTGCCTCCTCAAACCTGCCAGAGCAGAACCACTCGGACACCCTTTCCTCTTGATTTCTTCCAGTCAGATCTTGTGCCCAGCATCTCCTTAAGTCAGCTTTTGTAGAAACCACCATCGTTTAAAAACATGACACTCCTCTGAGCTGTTCATGGCAAAATAATGATCCCACTTAGCACCTGCATTACATTTTAGGAAAATTTCAACACCTTTCCAAATCTGTGATGTTTTATTCCTACCATGCTTCTGCGAAAGTAGGTACAACAAAACCTCGGGACGGATGCAAAACCTGGGGTTCACCTCTCCAATGTGACCAGCACTGATATACTACCATGGAGGACTTAACGGTTCAGACTCTCTGCCTGAAACGTATTAACTATTATCCAGGTACAGAAGGGCAATATATTAACTATTACCCCAGTGTGGAAGGACAGAGCTTCCACAGGTGACTGAGGCCCCATTATCAGAACTCGCTTCCCAGTTCTGGTTGAACAAACCAGACACAATTCTTCCCCAGAGGTAACTGACTACCATAAATGCTCCTCTACTACACACCAGAGGTTGCAAACTTGTATTTTCCCTTTGACCGACATAATGCTTTTTAAAGATTTCTGAAAATGTAAATGCCAGTTTTTTAAAAAATCACATTTGGGGTGCCTGGGTGGCTCAGTTGGTTGGGTGTCTGCCTTCAGCTCAGGTCATGATCTCAGGGTCCTGGGATGAGCCCTGCGTGGGGCTCCCTGCTCTGCCAGGAGCCCGCTTGTCCCTCTCTCTTTGCTACCCTCCCACCCCCCCCTCAAGTAAATAAAATCTTTAAAAATAAGTAAATATCACAACATTTTACATAAAAATCCAGATTTCCACCCAGGTGCCCCTCCATCTTATGTTGAATAATCAGAGGATCTGGCAAATTGTCGGGGGCTGAGTACTGACTTATGACCAGCCTATTATGCCACAGTCCCCAGTCTGCCTCCATCCTTCATGAAGAGGGAGTGACAGACCCAGAATATCTGAATTTGTGCACCCACTCCCATATGGACCAAGTATTATGAGTATCATATCCCTCCTTTGTGACCCTTTCATATGTAAAGAGTAAACTCTTTACATATGAAACAAGCTTTGGCCCCTCCGGTCCATCTCTGATGGATCTTAGGTTAGTTAGTTGCAGCTACTTCCGGAGGGTAAGGATGAAAAGCTTTAATTTATTCCATCAAAGACTTATGTTAGGTTACTCTATTGGCTCCCCTTTTCCATTCTGGCTCCTCCGATCGTTCCTTCCTTCCTTCCTTCCTTCATTTAAGATTCAGAACTTTTTTTTTTTTTTTTTTTTTGGTAATACTTATGAAGGTAGTAGGGCAGTGTCCTCAAATCATTTTTGGGCGGAGAATTTTTAAAAAATAAAATGCATTACTGGGAGCCCCCGCGGCCGCTGGAGGAGGCAGGCGGTCACGGCCCTCTGCACCCAGGTCCCTACCGGACCCACCAGCAGAAGGTGCTGCCGCTGTATGAGCCACCTGGAGTCGGATTGTGTCCACAGGGACAAATACCGGGACTTGGCTTGTTTGAGGAGAGCCCGGCGTGAAGAACAGAAGAATGAAAAGGATATGGTGAAGGCCACCCAACTGCTGAGGGAGGCGGAGGAAGAATCCTGGCGCAGTCGGCATCCTCAGCCACACACCTTCCCCGAGTCTCCAGGAGGGACCTCCTCCGAGAGAGCAAGTGCTACGAGGTTCCTGAGTGGTGCTTAGGGGACCGGCAGCCCTCGGAGAAGGCGCGGTGTCCCGACTGCTCTGCCGAGAGAGAGCAGTGGAAGAAGCTGCGGAGGGAAAGCTGGGCGCGGGAGGTGAGGTGGCCGCAGGAGGAAACGGCGCTCGGCGGTACTAACCCTGCGGCTGTGCCCCCCCCGCCCCGCCCCCGCCCGGAGGGAAGGGGATTTGCCGCACCTGCGGTGGCACACTGAGCCCCGGGGCCCTGTGCACAGAGGGGAGGACACCTCAGCAGTCAGCCACGCTGGCAAGGGAAATCAGATACACAACGAATACACGCTTGCCCTAATAAAAATCACTCAGCTTGGGAAGGATTAATTAATTAGTTAATTAGTTAATTAGATAACTAAAAATGCGTTACTGGAATCCCACTTTTGGGTATATACCCAAAAGAATTGAAAGAGATATGTGCACACCCACGTTCATTCATGGCAGCATTAGTCACAGTAGCCAAAAGGGGAAAGCAACCCAAGTGTCTATTGAGGGATGAGTGGATAAACACAATGCGATGTATACATCACAATGGAATATTATTCAGCTTTATTTTTTAATTTTTCATTGTTATGTTAATCACCATACTTTACATCATTAGTTTTTAATGTAGTGTTCCATGAATCATTGTTTGTGCATAACACCCAGTGCTCCACGCAGAAACGTGCCCTCTTTAATACCCATCACCAGGCTAACCCATCCCCCCACCCCCTCCCCTCTAGAACCCTCAGTTTGTTTCTCAGAGTCCATCGTCTCTCATGGTTCGTCTCCCCCTCCGATTTCCCCCCCTTCATTCTTCCCCTCCTGCTATCTTCTTTTTTTTCTTAACATATATTGCATTATTTATTTCAGAGGTACAGATCTGTGATTCAACAGTCTTGCACAATTCACAGCGCTCACCACAGCACATACCCTCCCCAATGTCTGTCACCCAGCCACCCC